CTGATCAATGAGCCATTTATCGATTAGGTAAAGGATCAGTTATGTTCAGCCTGATCTGTCAGCTCCATTACGGCTCTGCCTGTCGATCAATAATCAAAGCTTCTTACTGTTGTTAGACCCGTTGCTCCGCGGCTCCCAGCGCTGCACCTGCGGCATGTTGTTCTCCTCCTGGCCGCCCTCCTGCGCATCTCCGTCGGCCTTTTCCGCCACGAGCTTACGGTAAACCTCAAACTGGCTACTGGGACGAAGTGCGCAGGCGTTGTGGCCGTCCCCACAGCCCACCAGCTTGCAGTGGGTCGGTCCGTCCGTCGGAAACCCGATCACAGCCAGGTCGCAATCCGGGAGCGCGCAGCACATCGCCCGACAACTCTTGGGATCGAGCTCCATCACATTGCTCAGCAGCCGCGCTCCGCCAGCCTCGAAATCCGGGACCTGTTTGGGGTCGGTGGACTGGTTCCAACTGCAGTCCATAGCCAGACCCGAAGCCAGCACGAGCCCGAGCGCGAGCAGCTTCAGCGGGATCAGCGGGATGGTCGCGCCCCCAGTCATCATCAACAATCAATACAAAGCTCCAATAATCAGGAAACAGCGCAGCGAGCCTCCACACGGTCACTTCCGTGTTCTTGGCTCTGTCGCACTTACATTTACCTACGACAGGTGCGGCAAGCGAGGCCTCGCCCACACCCAGACGTCACTCACACTCAGACACACACACTCAGACACACAGAGTTCTGCTGAACGGTGAAAACCTCAAAGGTTCAAATAAAACTCGTTTTGTTTTACTGATGACGATGAATCTTCAGCACAGAGCAGGAGAACAGAGTTTGAATTACAGTCAATCATTTGGTGTCTGAGCGCGCTCAGTGCTGCTGTTGGTCTCTAAGGTGACGGCTGCACATTACAGCTGTTTCCATGGAAACATGAACACCTCCTGTCCCACATCCTGATGAAGGAGACCTGATATCAGATCAGAGGGCATTAATGTGATTGGCTGAACAGGTGTGTTCACTGTTTGCAGCAGAGTGACACTCAGCAGGAAAGCAGAATCAGCACATGTTCACATGACCACACGCACTCTGAGCTGCTGGGCTGCACACAAAAGAATCAGAGGAAATGGCTGATTTCAAACTCTGAGCTCGACACATGACTCGGCTCCTCTGCTTCCTTCTGAGGGCCTCTGGATGTCTGGAGTCTTGATCTCGTCCATACCTGCTTCACGCCCTGGAGGACGGGGCTGTGGCCCCCCCACACCCTCTAGCAGATCATTACATGAAGGAACCTTTTAAAAAAACAAGCGCGTCCATGCTCACAGGTGTACACACGGGTGATCACACCCACAAACTACACCCTTTTTGGCTCCTACCTCAAAGCACACTGTGTTCTGTTGATCTTATGTGCTGCACAATAATGTTTAATATTTAGTATTTACTGTCATATTCCCATATATCATCGCGATGATGTTGATTGTGTTGCTCTTTTTTTTTTCTTCAGCTTGTTTTCTCTTTTTTCATTCTCAACAGGTGATGGCCTGGCCTGCATTTGTACAGCGCTTTTCTAGTCCCTAAGGACCCCAAAGCGCTTTACACTACATTCAGTCATCCACCCAGTCACACACACATTCACACACTGGTGATGGCAGCTACATTGTAGCCACAGCCACCCTGGGGCGCACTGACAGAGGCGAGGCTGCCGGACACTGGCGCCACCGGGCCCTCTGACCACCACCAGTAGGCAAACATGGGGTTAGTATCTTGCCTAAGGATATTTGGCATGCAGCCAGGATGCAGCCTGGGATCAAACCACCGACCTTCTGATTAGTGGCTGACCTGCTCTGCCACCTGAGCTACAGCCACCCCAGGTGATTGATAGATGGATTTTTTGTCTGCTTATTTTGTTGGTTTTTGTTTTTTGCCCTTTATCCCCGTCCCTCTTCCCCGCTGTTTTTCTTTCCCTCTTTCTTTCTCCCCTTTCTTTTACCCAGGCTCTTTCGTCTTCAACCGTCAGTGACCTGCAGAGCAGCACCATGGCGAAGGTTTATCAGAGAGGTCTTCTGTGATATTATAATATGCCCCCTTCATCTCTCGAGCTCCCATTTCATCTTAAAAGGCTGGAAGATGTTACAGAACGTCTAGACAGAAAACAATAATGGATTGGATTGATATAGCGCTTTTCAAGGCACCCAAAGCACTTTACAATGCCACTATTCATTCACTCTCACATTCATACACTGGTGGAGGCAGCTACAGTTGTAGCCACAGCTGCCCTGGGGCAGACTGACAGAGGCGAGGCTGCCATATCGCACCATCGGCCCCTCTGGCCAACACCAGTAGGCGGTAGGGTAAAGTGTCTTGCCCAAGGACACAACGACCAGGACAGAGAGCCCAGGGATTGAACCGGCGTCCTTCCGGTTACAGATGCACTTCCCAACCCCCTGAGCCACGGTCGCTCAAGTCCTTTAGAGGCTGTCCACGTGCTCAGATCTGACCGACAGTGAATCATTCATGGCGTGCAGGAAACATGATGAGAGCCTGATTAAGGACAGGGAGAAATGGGCTCCGATGTTAAATCAGCACAGACTGAGGGCTGATTAGACCAAAACCTTTACATGAAAAAGCTGAGAAACTTAAGAATCTTCTCTGGCTGGTGAATTGGGGTCTTTTTATGTGGTTAAAGTCACATCATGCACATGAATCCATGCTGGCTGCATGTATATATATCAACTAAAAATTGCACAGACTTGTAAAGATCATTTCTCATCGCTGCCTATTTTCATTTTTGCAGTGTTGTGTTTAACATGTCATCAAAGCCGTGCCACCTACATGCAAATGTATAATCAAAGGTAAACTTGTACACACAGACAGCTACACGCACAGTTTTACAGATATTTTTCTACTTCATGCTCATGAATTCATAAGACAGTGTGTATGCCAGGCAGAGCAGACTAACATGACAGCCTCCTGACAGCTCCCGTACACAGGCAGCCTGCTTTGTGTTTTAGATATACAGTATATTTTGAAAGTTATTCAAGAGCAAGGGTGCGGAGGGAGCAGAAACACCACATGAATAAATAGAAATCAAACACTCACCGGCTGAGGTTTTGGCACTTTGAGCAGAGATATGGGGGAAGGTGTCAAGGGGTATGACAACAGGGTTTGACAAGGGGGCCATGACGGGCAGCAGACAAAATAAGAAAATAAATAAATAATAAAAAATACTTGTGTGATGATTGATCAATCAGCCCTCTGAGCCCTCCTGAGCTTCAGCTCATGTTGTCATGTCATGGTCTGTGGAGTGGACAGTAGTGGACCCAAAGACAGACACACGAAACGTGGAAACAGTGCTGATCTGAACAGAAAACGTGTCTTTTATTATGGCCGAAAACATGAACCACACACGAAAAAGAGAAACTAATCGCAAAAACCTAAACTGGGAAAATAAATACATGAAAACCAGGAACACTAGGAAATAGATTTGAGACACGAGGAGCTTAGCAGATGATCAGACGACCAGCAGAGGGAGACAGAGGGCGTAAATACACAGAAAGGTACGATGGAACCAGCTGACAGATGAACATGACTCCACAGGGGAAGCAAAATTAAACACACCGAACATGGAGCACGGGACTGTCAAAATAAAACAGGAAATAGGCAGAGTAAGACACTCGGACTAAACAAGTGAACAGGGAAGTGACAATGGGAGACGAGACACGGATCAAACTACGGAACACGTACAAAGGACACAACGGGCTGGGAGACATGACGCTGAACACAAGGAGAACATGGGAACAAAGCGGGGAAACAAGACACGTGGACACACACACAAGGCGTTACACTGAGACGGCAAGCGTAACTGGACTGACCCTGACCTCAAACACACCACCTACAGTCAGATCAGGAAGACAACCCCATTTTAACTCCACCCTCACAACCCATTAACCAGCCCACCTGCCTCAGCAGAGCCTGCCGTCACAGGGAGTGTGGGCCTCACTCGTGTCTGCATTTCACACTGCAGACGTGGCTCTGAAACAGCCGCTGCATTTAGCTGCTGAACCAGAGTCCGACTCCACTTTCATCCTCACGGCTCTACTTCCTGTTTGTCACATGATTAAAAAAGAAACCTGAGCCATGATCCATCGCACGTGTGTGTGTATGGTACTTGTCTACGTGCGTAGTCAGGGTGTGACCTCTGGCTCACTCACACATTAATGCAGTGGAGTTCACTTGGAGCTGTGCGTCTGAGCCCTGCTTCATCTGAGGTCACCTTGACATTCAGGGCCAAGGTCGTCCTTAAAAGAGGAGCGAGAGTCTGAATAGCGTAATAGTGTTTGTTGGTGCATTCAAGTTTAAAAAGCTGAGCACCAACCACAATTTTATGTCAGCAACACAGTCCTGCAAAACCCCCAGACAGGTTGGAGTTGGAGTCATAATGCACCCAAATACAGGAGGAAAACTCAGCTTTATGTGCTGCAAGCTTGCAGATAAAACAGACTGAGACAGAACAGGATGGCTCAGGGTTCAAAGACGCCACACTGGACCATCATTCACATGGACCATAACCTCGAAACATCACACTGCAAACTCCACAAACACATGAATAAATACAGAGCGCTGTTGTTTGCGCTGTGTTGTTCTTATCTGAATGATCAGTGTAATCAGAACTGTGACATCTGCAGATATTATCTCTGCAACTAAAACCAAAACATCTTCAACACTTTTAGTTTTATTTGTTTTTATGGATTATCACAAAAACACAAACAGCATAAGCGTATGCTTCAGCCAATAACTGTTGATTAGCCTTGTCTCGTGCTTTCTTTGTGGTAGATCTTTATTCTGTATACACTGAGATATCTGAATGCTAATCAAAATAAATTAATTTAAAAAATAAAAAGTTTAATAAAAATGATCAGTAAACAACATAATCAATAAAAATCTGAGTTTAACTTTGAAAACAAAAATCAATGATTTAGTTGTTTTTTTTTAACCAAACATTTGAATTTGTTGAAGCTCTTATTAAGCACGAGGATATTATTTTATTATTGATTATTTAGCTTAACTGGATGTTTGAATAGTTTTATTCAGGAAAATAAATAAATAATTATTAAAAGGTACATGTACTGCAATCCTGCGTAAGGTCGAGGTATTTCAAGTTATTGATCTTCATGCTATTGATTATCTAAAGTGCATCAGTGAAAGACTTAATTTTAATTCTGTGTATCACAGTTGGAGCTCCCAGGATCGAACTCACGTCAAACTGAAACTGGACTGATCTGAAACATAGAAACACACACACACACACGTGCGACATGAATAAACTGCTAAATCTGGAGCAGACATTATAAATACATGGTCCAAAGGTGTGTTCTCCCACAGACCTTACTGTGGGAGAGGCCCCGGCCCAGAATCAGGCCAAGTATGGAGTTCAGGATGTTGGCCCCACAGAGGACCGTCTGCAGTCCGCTCACAGTCCCCATCACACTGAACAGGACCAAGTTCCACTGGACCACCGAGCTGGGCTCCAAGCAGACCCCAGACCACAGAGTCCTGTTGAACAGGTATCCCGAGTGTCTAAGGAGACAGGAAAATATCTGCCCAAGAGTACAAGGAAACATCTGTCCGAGGCTACAAAGAAAACATCTTTGACATTACTCCGAGTGTCTGAGGACAGAGAGACAGGAAACCACTAAAACCAGTTCAGAACATCTGTGTGAGTGTGTCTCACCGGCCTGGGAGGGGCTGCAGCGGGACCCCCCAGGTGGGACCAGAGGAGTCGTTGTAGAGGCAGAGGGGACCCTGAGACAGACCAGTGGCACTGACCAGGGAGCAGGAGGCAGCAGAGAGCAGACACAGGCAGGAGTAAAGCAGCTGGCACAACATCTGGAGAAGAGAGACGTGATATGACTGACAACATCTGGAGCAGCTCACACGTGTCAGAAAAATACAGATGTGTGGTTTCCAGATTTCACTTTGATAAAAAAAACATCTGTGATGAAAATCGGTGCGAGAGGGGGTGGAGCCTGAGGTCACCTGACTCCTGAACGCACAGCAGCCTCGGGTTCTGCTGCTCTGGACAAAGGCTCGAGCTCCAAGTAGAACCTGAAATCAGAGTTTAAAAATTCTAGTTAAACTGTTACACCTTGATATCATTTTCTACTTTAACTTTGTTGAGGTCCAATCACAAAGAGGAACATAAAAACACATCATCAGTAAGCAAATTATACTGATGCAAATGTAACTGACAAGTAAATGGTAAAATGGTAAATGGACTGATTCTTATATAGCGCATTTCTACTCTCCCGGAGTACTCAAAGTCAATACAATGAGTCAAAGGTCAAACATTAAAATCCCAAATGACAAAATGTACTGTACCAGACGCAGCACAGTTTTTATCGACAGTCACTGAGCAGATAAAACCACAACCAGGAACACACAAAAAATCCTCAGTAAGCAACTTGTACTAACACAAATTCAGCCATTTAAAATAACATGAATATGAAGGATATGGCTGGATTGTCTCAGGGGCATCTTTACACAACCTGCACCTGGTGTGATAGACTCCAGCCTCTGTGGATCTCAGAGCTTGTTCTTGTGCTGCCATGATTAGTGCCTCTGTGCTGTCTTTCAGTCCAGCTTTGTCCAGCCACTGGTAGGATTTCTGGATATCAGTCACTTACTCTACCTGCTGGTGGTACATACCGTGCAGGGGCCCGTCCTTCCATGATGGTGCCTCCTCTTGCTCCTCTTTGTTCTCACGTTTCTGCTGCCTGAGGTAACTGACACCAGACCCAGCACGATCGTGGCTCAAGAGTTAGGAGTTCGCCTTGTAATCGGAAGGTTGCCGGTTCGAGCCCCGGCTCGGACAGTCTGTCGTTGTGTCCTTGGGCAAGACACTTCACTGGTGGTGCCTACTGGTGGTGGTCAGAGGGCCCGGTGGCGCCAGTGTCCGGCAGCCTCGCCTCTGTCAGTGCGCCCCAGGGTGGCTGTGGCTACAATGTAGCTGCCATCACCAGTGTGTGAATGTGTGTGTGAATGGGTGGATGACTGGATATGTAAAGCGCTTTGGGGTCCTTAGGGACTAGAAAAGCGCTATATAAATACAGGCCATTTACCATTTGAGGTGCTGACATTCAACGGTCCCCAACCTCCTTCCTTCCACTTAGTGTACAGCCTCAGGGTGCTGGACTTGGGGTGAAACCCTCCGTGCATGGTCAGGAGCTTTCTTGTCTTGATGTCAGTGGCTTCTATCTCCTCCTTTGGCCAGCTTATTATCCCAGCAGGGTACCTGATCACAGGTAGGGCGTAGGTGTTGATAGTCCTCAGGACTTGCCCGACGCTCTGCAGGTACTTGGTGGTTGCAGCTTTCCTAGCGGCCTCTTCATGGTTCCCATTTGCCTGTGGGATCCCCAGGTACTTGTAGCTGTCCTCGATGTCTGCAATGTTGCCTTCTGGTAGTTCGATCCCCTAAGTTTGACTACCTTCGTCTAAAACTGCTCCGTGTCCACACTATCATTTTCAAAGAGTTGTTCGTCCACATTGAAACAGCCAAAAACGCTTACGTTCCAGTACTGTACATGCACGTAAAGTAACACAATTCAACCTCCCTCATTTCTGTCTGCTGTTTTTTTACTTTGCGGCTCTTTGAAACGTCGCGGCAAAATGTGAAGGAAAAGCACCAAATTTTTTAAATGGACTGACAATGAGGTGGAGTTGTTGCAGCGAGTAATATGAGAGTGCAAAGTTGCAAAAACGAGTGAGAATTAAAGAATTGGAAGAAAAGCTATCTGGAGCATGTACAGACTGATATTAACCTTTAATAGGTCTGTCAAAACTGACAGCAAACAAAATGCTGTCCACCACCTTAGTTGAATTGGTCACATGACTGCATCACATGACTAAAATGTATCATGGTTTTACAAAGCCTCCATTTTCACAGTCCACACCACAACGCAAAAGCTGCGTTTTTCAAACGTATCTGCTTTGGAGAGCATTTTCAAAAAGCTCAGTTTTCCTTGACCAAAAACGCCATCTCAGTGTGGACGGGAGGCCAAAACAGAGAGAAAAAGATCAAAACGTATTAGTGTAGACATGGCCTTTTTGTCCGTGTGCGTGCGTGTGAGGATGTGTGGCTTGCGTTCAGCCTGAGGAAGTGTCCTTTCACCCAATTAAGCGAAGATCAACAGTCTGCAGCCTACGCAGGTGGCCTGGAGGGAACTGGTGAGAGAGTTAGGGAGTCTCGTTGTCGCTATCAGGGGAGAATTTGTTGTTGTTCTCGTCGGCATTGGTCTTCAAGCGTCCAGCTGCCGCTGATAAGCTAGGGCCAAACCAGCTCAGATCAGCAAGAACCCCGTTGTCATGGTTCTGAATAGGTAGATGTCTTCAATGTCCTCGATAGACAGACCCGCCAGCCACACGACGCGCCACTTCTGCTACCCATCCATCGTGTATCCAGCAGGGAATGTCCCTCCACTGGGGCTCTCTCGAACCCAGGCTCCTCGTAGAGAAGAGAGTGTCAACTGCACTCAGGGACCAGTTGATCAAATCAACAGTTATAATTCTTCTTAACTTTTTAGAGAACAAGAACGAGACTGAAAGGATCTCTGAGGGTTAGAGTTAGACGAGACTAGACAAGGACATAGGAGCTAAGCAGGAAAGACAAGGGAGAGAGAGGCGTCCGCCTCCCCCAAGAGCTGAAGTATCAGTATCAGTATCATCAAGCTTTATTTGTCGCAAGCAGGTTGCCCTGCAGCGAAAATGGGACCCCCCCCCCCCCCGACATTACACACATAACACAGACATCACATGGGGTTACAAGTCGGAGATTGGCAGCGTTACAGAAGGAAAAACACTGAAATGTACACAACAAAGGGATGGTACAAGAGGAAAAAAAGAGACCCCCACTCATGCTGTGCTTCCATGGCAGGACAGCACGAGAACAGGAAACAAAAAAACTCCTCTGCACAAAAAAAAGAGCATAAGAATGAACACATCACCACATAGTGAAAGACATGACAAGCCACAGGGTTGGGTAGGGGATATCATAACACAATAAACACAGTGTGTACATCTGATCTGGGAACTGCTGCAATCTTTCGACTGTGCCGCCAGCTGACCCGACGTCTACATCATGGGGCAGGTAAGCATCGAAGGCGTTGGAAAGGGAAGGGGGATGAGTGAGTGCTTATCAGTGTAAGTGTGTGTGTGTGCGTGTCCATAGTTCAGCTGAGACAGTGTCCTTCGCCCTATCAGGCTAAGTAAACAGTCCTCCAGCCAATCCAGGTGGCCTTGCATGGGATGGGAAGAATAGCCGTAACACAGTCGTTATCAGGGAGTGATAGTTCAGCTCCAGCCTTGGGCCTGCAGCTGGCGCCGTGATGGGGGTTCGCAATTTCGATATTGATTTTGTAAATTTCCATGCGAGCAGCCCAGGAGAATTTTCAGGCTGGTCTTTAACACTCTGATGCTGGTCTCTCGATCTCCCGTTGGAGAGCCGCGCGCCTCCCCATGATGGTATCAAACTTCTGTTCCATGGTGTTGTCGTTCTTTTGATCCTGAGACCTCACAGCTGCAGTGATCCGTTCCGTGATGTCGTCCAACTGTCGCTCAAGGGTCTCATTTTGAGCAGGCCTCTCTCTGATGTTTCCCCTCATACGCTCAAT